CTCTACAGGGTGGCTTTGGCTTTTGTTGACTAAAATGACAAAAGTCAGATTGCAAGCTGACTAAAACTTCAGATCCACATTGGTCTGAAAACATGGCACAGTTCAAACCCAGCGTCCAACTGGTTGCACTTGTTGTTCCTGTTTGATATACATCTACACTTCTGCAGCTGCTTTGAACTAAAGGAAAAATGCCATAATTATATCTTGTCTGAACATTTTTCACCAAGGCTCTTCCTTAAGTATTTTCTTATCCTTCGTCTTTCTCACAGAGCTGGAGGTGGCTGTTCAGCCTCAGGCTCCAACTCCAGCCGAACCCCATGATCACAAGGAGTACACGCAGATTGTCCCACCTGTCAGCCTCAGCACGCCTTCACCCAGCAAAGGTGAGATTCAGTCTAGTTCAGTCACTCCAGTTACCAGAGGTAAGGCCTCAGACACAGATTGGCTCCCCCTGCCTGTGCCACAAAACCCGTCGAAGCATCTACACGCCTAACTTCAGTATCCAGGTGGATGAGTTACTAAAAAAAAAGAAAAAAAGAAAAAGAAACACCACCCAAAAGTGTGTTCATAGCAGGCTGTAAACATGCTTATTTCTGCTGTGAAGTTGGTTGTTAATATGGTTGCTGGATCTTTTTTTTTTTCTTCCCTTCCCTTCATGTCAATCAGGAGCTGTTATAGTGCACACGTTCAAAGCAATGGAGCCACAAAGTTTTAAAAGCCAAAATGCTACAGAACTGAGAGAGTGGTGAAAATTGAGTATTCGATTTTAATTTGCAAGTTTTACACCCGAAATTGCAAAGAAAAACCCAACGAACCTCCAAAGGGCTTCTGTGATATTTGGGTGATAAAGGGTTAAATGTCTTGTTTTGTTGATTTGAATAAATAGTTTTCTATTCCTCGTGAGACCAATGTGGTTGATTTCATTGGCCACGCTCTTTTCTTTCTTCAGACACTTCAGGGTTGGCGGTTGAGGAGGCTCAGGAGCTTCCGCTCTGCAGTTGCCGCATGGAGACCCCCAAGAGTCGAGAAATTCTCATTCTGGCAGACAGGAAGTGCATGGCCACAGAGAGTGTAGATGGACAGCTGACTCGCTGCCAGGACGCTGTAGTGAAACATGAAATGATGCGTCCTTCCAACTCCGTTCAGCTACTCGTTCTGTGCGAGGACCATCGCAACGGCATGGTGAAGCACCAGTGCTGTCCGGGCTGCGGCTTCTTCTGCAGAGCGGTGAGTGAAAACTGCGTGACAATCAGTTTCAGGTCTCTGGCTGCAGTTTAACTTGCAGCTACTGTCACAAATGGAACAATTTACACAGATGAAACACTTGCATGGTAAATGGCTCTGCATTTACTCTGAAGATTGAAGAAGCTGCACTAATCTCAGTTCTTTGGGGTTAATGACGCTTTCACACAGGACACAGCATGTGATGCGTTTGCCATTTCTCAATGAAGCCATTGAGGTTTTCGGTTTTCTCTGGCTCCTTTACTCAAGGCCTTTTAATAGATCTGTGGAGCTTCTGTAAGGAACGTGTAACTCATCTAATATGTTTATACACACAGTACGTTCACAGATACATAAGACCACACAGTTTGTGCTTGACAGTCTTGACTAAACACTTTCCTAATTTGTGCCTCAGATTTCTAAGTGTGAGTCCTGGATGACACTTAGATGTCAGTAAGTCTTTTTACTCATTAAGTACACGTCGTGATTCAGTATCGTGAAGAACTAACTTTATCAGGAGAAACTTGAAGTAATTCATTATGGCGGACTCTCACATCATTCACCATTCTTCTTTGGCAGATGTTGGTTGTAGGGCTCTTCCTCCTTTGGGCTCTTATGAGTGAATATTGTAGGTTTACAGAAGCAACCTAGACACTGTTTTCGTGTGAGACGTGGTCAGAGGACATGTGCTTTGTGAATGTTTGTTTACAGAGACTGTTTGTTGTTCCTGCACAGGGGACCTTCATGGAGTGCCAACCAGATGTGAACATCTCTCACCGTTTCCATCACGCTTGTGCCTCAGTGCTGAAAGGTCAAAGCTTCTGTCCTCACTGCGGAGAAGAGGCCAGCAAGGCCAAGGAGGTCACCGTTGCCAAGGCTGACACCACCTCCACCGTGCCCCCTGCTCTTGAACATGGGCCAGCCACGCCTGGAGCCCTCGAGGGCCGAGCAGACACGACCACTGGCAGGTAAAAATGCAACTTTGGAACTATTTTGTTTGTTTATTACAAAATGCCGAACTTAAACTTTTGTTCTCACTTGTTTTCTAGCTCCTCTTGTTTAACTGTGGGGGCTGAAGTCAGTGGCCGGGCTGACAGTTCGCTGCCTGTTCGTTCTGCACATGGATTCGACACATCTGCTGTTCCTGGGTCCTCCAGGGCTGCCCCCCTGCAGGCTGTGATGGCAACAACAGCCCTGTGTACACTCACTCCAGGACCCAGAGAAACTCTAGAGAGCATCCTGGTGGCTCTCGACACAGAAAAGTAAGTAAACCCACCTTAATTCACCTAAAAGACCACGATCCATTTACAAGCTAATTCATTTTTTTGTGTCTGTTTGATCAGACCCAAGAAACTGCGCTTCCACCCTAAACAACTTTACCTCTCTGCCAAGCAAGGAGAACTGAAGAAGGTCCTGCTCATGTTGGGTACGTAAATCCCATTCAGGCTCTGTCATCTGGACTCATTTTCATTTTTCACCTTGTAGTGATGTCTGCCAAAACTAGTTTTGCTTCTTCCAGGAAGCTGGTGTAATTTTCATGACCCTCAAATTTTATTATGAATAATTTTACCACATGCATTTGGTAGCATTAGACAAACACAGAAAACTTACGAAGTCCTTGACCCCCAGCCTAAATACACAGTCCACACACTGTATACAATTTCAGCCCATCTGTCACCACAAGCTGGCAACTTCTTGTCACGTGCATCCAACATGTGACAAGAAGTTGCCGACTTTGATCCAAATACTAATTGTAAAATCACAAATTATGCCATTTTTAAAAGAAAGAAAAGAAAGAAGAAAAAAAAGAAAATTATCCATCAAAACTAGCTCTGCTCTAAGCTGGACAGCTGGCACAGTTTACACAGAGGGGGGGATTTTTTTATTTTTATTTTTTTTAAACATAAACGTTGGCAGGTATTTTCATGCATCTTCCTCGCCTTCCTTTACCTTCCAGTGGACGGTATTGACCCGAACTTTAAGATGGAATCGCAGAATAAACGCACCCCGCTGCACGCAGCAGCAGAGGGAGGTTACAAAGACATCTGCCACATGCTTGTTCAGGTAACCTTGTGCTTCACATCTCTCTGACGGAAATATTAAACTTTGAGTAACTTTCTGACAAAAACCTTAAAATAAAAATCTCAACCAGAGGTTTATTCTAATATTAATGATTCTGATTTTGTGGAAGCAGTTTTACATTAGCTGTTTGTATGATGTTTCAGGCTGGTGCAAACTTGGACATGTGTGATGAAGATCAGCGGACTCCTCTGATGGAAGCCTGTGAGAACAACCACATGGAGGTGGTCCTGTACCTGCTCAGAGCTGGAGCCAGTGCCATGCACAAGGTAAATATGCACTAGATTTTTCTCTGAGGTTCCCATCAGCCAACTAAAGATCCAGGTGAAATGTTTGACTAAACCTGAATCAATAATTAAATCCTCTGCCATTCTCAGGATGTTGAAGGGTTCACGTGCCTCCACCTAGCGGCCAAATCTGGCCATTACAAGATTGTTGAGCACCTTCTGTCCACTGGACTGATTGATATTAACTGCCAGGTTAGTACACTTAAAAATGTCTCTTGTGAAAGAAGGGGAGAGGCTGCAAGATTGAAATGTACAGCTTCAGGATGCAGCACTCTGTCTATGTGTTAATTACAGAGCCATGTGTAGACTAGCTTAGATTTAACAAGCAGTGAAAAACAGCTATCCTAGTTTATAAGGAAACAAAAAAAAACATGTGTGCTTTTACTTCAGCTTCCCATAGTCACCCTGTTCCCAGTTGATTTCAACCTTAGCAAAAGGTTGGTTTTCTGGCTGTAGTTTCATGATTGCTTTGTAGATGAGGGGGTATCAAGCTTCTGATCCATGGGCAAAGAAACAGATGGTGTCCAGGTTCCTGAGGGTCCTTAAAAAGTCTCAAATGCATCATTAATCAAAAATAAGACTCAGTGTGTGTTAAGATATCTCAATGTCTTTTTCTAAAACTGCAAAGAAATAATTTTTCTGACATTGTTATTGAAAATGTCCAAAATATGTTAGGCTTCCTTTCTTAGCAATGAAGCAGAGAAGATTTGAAACCTGGAAATTGATGCTGGTTGCTTAAATCTGATGGTTTAAGCAGTTCTAACAAGCAACATAGATGAAGTTGTTGTGGATGCTCATGAGTACACATGAAACTTGTCTCAATCCTAGAGAATTTGTACAGTTTTCAAAATTTCATTTTGAGACATTAAAAGTAGAATTTAAACCATAATCCTAAATTTAGCTACATTTGTTGAAACCCTGTAAAAATGTCTTTCCCCATATCTGTTTAAAATACTTCCACACCAGTCTTTTAAGTTTCTTAAAATTTCAGATCTGAGAGATGATAAACAAAGTTTTATATAATAGTAATTCGTGTTAGGATGTACGTTCGTATTCAGTTTATTTATTTATTCAGTGCACTGCCTACAAAGCAAACATTTTGCACTGAGTTAAAATGTTTTGGTTGACTGATGTCCTCTGCACTAAAAATTGTTGCTCTCAAAGCTCAGTAATGAATAATATGTTTCATATGATCTGTAACTTCCATTAAAAAAAAAAAAATTCATTGATTTACTTGTTTTCCATTCATGTGACACACTAGGATGGATTTCCAGTGTGTATTTTTACTGTAAAGCACTTTGTAACTGGGCTTAAAAGGTTCTCTGGGAATAATTGATGCATGACGTGCTGCACTCTGCTGCATGTGTCTTGGATTAAGATGTATGAACTTGCTATATGTAGCATCAGGACAGCTTTGACGTAATGAAGCAGCCTTTCCTCTTTTACTACTCTGTACTTAGGAGGACTGAAAATTAAAAGCTGTGCTTTTATTCTTAGTTGTTGTTGTTGTTGTGTGTCCTTTTTTTTTTTTTTTTTTTTAAAGGAATTCCAATATGTAGTTGGATTGATGTTGTTTCAGTATTTCTTCAGCTGATTTTCAAGCCCATTATTAATTTTCCACAGGATGACGGAGGCTGGACGCCCATGATCTGGGCCACAGAGTACAAACATGCAGACCAGGTGAAGCTGCTTCTTACTAAAGGAGCTGACTGCAGCATCAGGGACAAGGTTAGCATAGAAGTCTCTCCACCCCAGGTTTGAAATCCTTTGCAGAAGAATTAAATGTTGGCTAATTGTGGGTTTATTTGGGTTATCTTCATTTAGGAAGAAAACATTTGCCTTCACTGGGCTGCATTCTCTGGCAGTGTGGAGATAACGGAGCTGCTGTTGAACGCTCACTGCAATCTGCAAGCTGTCAACATCCACGGAGACTCTCCTCTACACATTGCTGCTCGGGAGAATCGCCTGGATTGCATCACGTGAGTTGCCAGCCCCACCTACTGGATAATAACGGCGCTAAAAAAAGTCCTTGTTGTCGTAGATAGTCGGTAAAATGTGTTCTTTGTCTCATCAGGCTCCTCCTGTCTCGAGGAGCAGATGTGTTTTTGAAGAACCGCGAGGGAGAAACTCCCCCAGACTGCTGCAGCCACAACTCGAAGGCCTGGGGCGCTCTGCAGGCCAACAGGAAGGAGAGGGATGCCAAAAACATTAGGCTTAGTCAAGCAGAAGAGAAAGCCCTTCACAGGTTAAAGACCAGGCTGGGAGGGATAAAGCATCATAAATAGCGATGTCAAGATTCTGTCCACCTGTTTCTTTCAAATTAAAGCACCTAAACTGTCTCTCTGTCCATTTACAGTGACATAGCTTTAGGGCAAGAGCGAGTTCCCATCCCCTGTGTCAACGCAGTTGACAGTGAACCTTACCCAGATGGCTACAAGTACATCCCCGAAAACTGTGTTACTTCCCCTATGAATATTGACAGGAACATAACACACTTACAGGTGAGCTAAAGGCCATCTGATTAGGCTTTTAACATTACTTAAACCCCAACAACAAACGATAAAGAGACAAACTAAAAGGAAACTGTCTGCATGAAGAACAGCAAGTTCAGATTTACAGAAGAAAACCCTGTCATCAACACAAAGATCCAGTATCCTCAACAAAGTTCAAGAAGAAAACTTTTTTCTTTTTACTCAAAAAGTTGCAGATGAATTTGCGTTTCCACTTAGAAGTGATGAAGTTTTGGAGGCGATCCAGATTTGGACCCAGTAATCTATGGAAAATTCTTCACTGTTGCAACATAACACAGAATTCACATCGTAACTTACAATGTACTTGGATCTGTATTTAAGAAAAAATAAATAAAACGATCACGTTGTGAATCCACAAATGCTGGCTCATAACTGCCAAGGGGAGGAAGGGTGCAGCTGAAACCTGGAAACAAGTTACAGCACATTACCAGAACTTCACAGGAAGTCCTGTGATTTCACTCACTTATCTCAGTCCACTTTCTGTTGCTAAGGTTGAAATCCTTTGATTCAGATCACCTAATTTTGCAGACACTTGTGGTCAAAAGTTTACTTTTGGAGTGAATGCATGATCAGACTGTTCCGGCACTTTCTGTTAAATGTTTTAACGTCGTTTGTGTTGCATTTGATCCAAGCCATCAGTAATACAGTGCCATTAGACATTTTAAAAAGAACTATAGGTTTTTCTTTGCATTGTGAAGTGACCTATGTTATTTTCTGCTCTGTTGCAGTACTGTATTTGTAAGGAAGACTGCTCTGCGAGTATCTGCATGTGTGGACAGCTCAGTCTGCGCTGCTGGTACGACAAGGTAAGAACGGGCAATCTGCGAGTCTGAAAGTGTGCCTACACCTTAATAAAATAAGCTTTACCCAACATTAAATCACTACAGTTTAGTGTAACTACCATCGTTGAAACCATCAAGCTCATAGAGAGCACTACATGTGTGTATTGTTCAGAGTGGTCGACTTCTACCTGAATTCTGCCGAGAGGAGCCTCCTCTCATCTTTGAGTGTAACCATGCGTGCTCCTGCTGGAGGACCTGCAAGAACCGCGTAGTGCAAAACGGACTCAGGTGATTTTAACAAATACAACTCTTAAAGGATTTGTGGCTTTGTAAGCCAGCATGTGTGTGTATATAACAGAGTTTTGATGTGAACAGCTGCACTACTTGCTGTGTGAAGGTAAAAAAGATGAGTGTTGCTTAAAGATGTTTCTGGTCCTCTAGGACCAGACTCCAGCTGTTCAGGACCAGTAAGAAAGGCTGGGGTGTCCAAGCACTGCAAGACATACCACAAGGGACCTTTGTATGCGAGTAAGTCAAAGACAGCCCAATAACACTTGTTTTGTAGGGATCGATCCTTCAGTGTTTCCCAGCATAATTTATAGTTTGAACACGAGGAGAAGAGTGGCCACGACTTTGTGTTTTATCACTTCTGCTTTCATTTAGGGAAAAATTAAAATGCTATTCTTGCACGTGCAGCTTTATCTTTATCTCCTGCCAGATGGTCCCAAGACTGACCCAAGACGACTGTCAGTAGTCTAAATGCAAGTATTGCACATACAAAACCAGATGTTTGGTTAAGTTTAGTTTTAAACAGGAGCATGGAAGCATCTGAAATATCTGTCTTAGCAAAGGAAGTGGTACATCATGTCTGACCAACACAGAAAGTTATAAATGACTTGAATTTTTTATCTACAGAATTCAGACTGGACCCTGGCTGAAATCACTGCTTTTCAAAGAGGAATCGGTCATGAATAATGTGCTGCCCCTTGTTTTACGGCCCTTCGGTACACTGCAGTTCGTGCCTTATGTGACTGATTTTCTGAATGTGCTTTAAAAACTCTTCTAAGGACGAGTGTTGCAAACCAGCTTGGGCTGTAAAGTGTGGGGTATTGCACGGTTCATGTCACAAACTTGTGAACAAAAGATGAATATTAAAATGTTCCCGCCCCTAATGGCCCGTCTGTTTTTGAACAGGTATGTCGGTGAGATAATCTCTGAAGCAGAAGCAGAGATGAGGCAAAATGATGCTTACCTGTTCAGTCTGGATGACAAGGTGAAGTAAAAGTGAAGAAAAATTTGAATAGACGTTGGATTGTTTTCTGGTTTTCTTCCTTGTATGCAGAGTTCTTTTAAAAAATCTTTTAATTTGAGCTTTTCATTTATTTTATTATTCCCCCTTCTGCAAACCACAGGATCTCTATTGCATTGATGCTCGTTTCTATGGAAATATCAGTCGCTTCCTCAACCACATGTGCGAGCCCAACTTGTTCGCTTGTCGAGTGTTCACGAAACACCAGGACCTGCGCTTTCCACACATTGCCTTCTTTGCCAGTGAAAACATCAAAGCTGGAGAGGAGCTTGGGTAAGCTTTAGTTATTTTAATTTATGTTCGTCTGTTTTTCTGCAATGTTGTGTTTGTTGTTGTTATAACACAGTCCCCTGTCTTTTTTTTTTTTTTTTTTTGGTCCCCCACCCCTTAGAAAATCTGAACAAATAAAACAAAGGAAAACAAAGTTAAAAAACAACAAGGCTGTACAAGACAGCAGAGCAAAATAAATGCGTTTCTGGGGTCTAGTAATGTCATAGTGATGAATTGCTACAGATCAGCACGGCTATTTAGTTCCAACCCTTACGTGTGGGAAATGAGCTGTGGGTGGTGACTGAAAGAGTGACATCATGGATCAGGTGGAAGAAATGAGCTCCTGGTTTGTGGCCACCATGGTACCATTGCCATTTATACTGGCTCTTGAGACATGCCGGACTTGCTGCAGTTTTCTCCTGAATGCAGCATCTCCCTCCCTCAGCAGTTAAGGGCAACAGTGGCATGCAAGAATGAGGCACGGGGCCCTGGGTTGACCCACTGCTTCTCCACATCACAATGAGCTAGCTGATGAAGCTTCCTGGGTGGGAGATCCCAGGACAAACTGGAGAGATTGTGTCTCTGAACTGGTTTTGGAATGTCAGCTGAAGAGCTGAAGGGGATCTGGAGAGCTTTGAATTGACACTGCCACAGTGTCAGTGGCATACCTGAATAAACAGCAGAAAGTGGATGGACAATTTATAAAAAATGCTAACTTTTAACCACTGCTGACTGTATTTGCAAGCAACATTTGAATAAATTTAACTTTAACTGAACAAACACACACATCCACACATGTGCAATAACACTAAGTGCAATAATCTTTTCTGGCATCGTTGTATTTTTACTCAGTTGTATATAGCATTCGTATTCTATTTTTATCTCATTGTATATTTTTATTCTATTTTATTCTACTGTATATAGTATTTTATTTTATTCTATTCTGTACAGCTGTGTACTGTATTTATTTATTATTGTATTCTAATTTTTGCGTCATAACTTTTGCACTGTCCACTTCCTGCTGTGACAAAACAAATTTCCCACGTGTGGGACTAATAAAGGTTATCTTATCTTATCTTATCTTAAATTACCTTTTTAACTGCTGTGAATTTACAGCATTTGGATTTACATTTAGAACTGCCGTGAACCAGCGAGAAGCTTTTGGCTGTAAGATGAATGTAGTTTTGGTTGCATAGCAGCACTTTTATGTAAACATTTCCTTTCTTCTGTCGTCCTCCTCTCAGATTTAACTATGGTGACCACTTCTGGGAAGTCAAAAGCAAGGTGTTCAGCTGTGAATGTGGCTCATCCAAGTGCAGGTACTCCTCAGCGGCAATGGCGTCCCTGCAGGCGGACAGCACACCCGAGGACCAGCAGCAGCCCAGCGCGTCGCCTGACACCAGCTCTTCCAACAGTCCTTCCAGTCCCTCCTAAAAAAACAACAACAACAAAAAAACAAAACAAAAACAAAAAAACAACAACAACAACAAAAAAAACAAACAAACGCTCCACACACTAAGTTTGGCCTCGTGTACTGACGGACACACGGGGACGCCAGTCCACATCCTCTTTAAACTTTCATTGGTGAACTTGTACTGTATCTCCACTTTGGATTGAAACCACGGACCACTGACCTTCGTTGAGAACCTAAAGACGAGATGCACAATCACATCCTGGACTAACCTCCTGCTCTATTATTCCGCCGTATGTAATGTGAACAGCAGGGGGTGATGTCATCACGCACAGTAAACGCCACAGAGACGATAAAACAGTCTTTACATTTCATATTTCACTTTGCTGGAAAGCAGAACTGTGCGTTTTTGTTTTTCCCTTTTTCACCCCTCCCAAACAGGCCCCCCCCCCCCCCCCCCTTCTTTTTTTTTTTTTTTTTTTTTTTTTTTTTTTTTTTTGACACGACTGACGATTTTCAGTGGACTTTTACAAAAGTCATCAAAAAATTTGAGGTCACTGATTAAGGGTAATATTGTCTTTTGCAAAGACAGCCCCAGCGCACAGCTGGGTGTTACTTTTCTGACCTTTTCCGTTATTGACCATGAACCATTCCAGCAAAACTAGCTGATAAATATTAAATTATGTTGCCACTTTTTTTGGTGTCATTCATCTTTGAGTGTTTCAAAGGACTTTTCAGACATTTTTCACGACACCTGAAGATGAATTTACTAAAGAGAAAGAAGTGGACTGCTTTTAATTTGCTCCTCAAGTGGTTATAGGTTGTAAAGTGGAACAATGTTAATCCATTCCTCAGCATTGAGGCGTTTCTAGTCTGAATAAATTGGCTGACCTTTTTATTGAGCATGTGTACGGGGTGTGAAACGTGCCGGACGTTTTCGCCGTTCTTGTTGACGAATTGATTTAAAGTGAAAATGAGCAAGGAAAAAAAAAAAAAGAAAATGGTGCTGACAAAGGTTTTTACTTTTGTTTTCATTTTTATTACCCAAGTGAACATAATTTGTAAAATAAGAGAATGTTTTAAAGTTTTTTTTAAGTTTAATTTTATCTCCAGTTTTCTAATTGTAGTTGCCGTAGTCTATTTTAGTTTCATGATTTTTGCCGACAGAAGCCAACCTGTCATTTTAAATGTTGTTAGTAAAGCAGTGACTGTTGTGCAAAGTCTTGAAAGGTATAGGTGGAAAAAGGTTATAAAAATGCACTTCCATTATGTTCTGTTACATATTTCTGGACCGTGAACCATCCATCTGATTGGTTGTATCTTTTTCAATAAATTTAATACTAATGCATTTATCCTGTTATGCTTCATTTGTTGGAGTCTGCTTGAATGCATTCCTGAAAATGTGCTAGAACAGAAACTGCTTCCTCGTAGCTTTTACTTTGTCAACCATGAACACATTACTTAAAGAGGTGAAGCCTGCAGGCACTTTGACCCAGCACAAACTGAGTAGCAGCCCAGGTTTGACAGATGGGCTTAAATATTCAGCACCTGAGAGGCTGACGCTTCATACGCAGCCTCCTTTTAATGAGTTGAGATTTTTAAACTTGTTTGTGCCATGAGTTCATTTCTGTAGCGGTTTAGACTGTAAGTACCAAAATCAACTTCTTCTAACAGAGAGCTCTTGCTTTTTGATACAAGGAACAAAATGTTCTGGGCTTTCTGGCCAATCAAGTCTACAAAAGTCATGTAGTTAAACATTATTCAGTGCTCGTGTCTCATGTTTCAGTTCAAATGACCAATGTGTGACCCTTTGTTCACTTCATCTTTGTCGGTATAGCTCTGGGGGGAAGAATCAGCTATAAAAATTGGTGTGCAAAGCTTCATGTGTGATGCCAAAATATACAACCTAATAGACTAAACTAGGCACGATAAAATAGGATCTTCTCTGGGTTTTGTTGGGGCGGTGGGGGGTTGTATATTGTGCGGTTAATGGGAGTTTCTTACATTCATCGAATATTCATCATATTACAGATGAGACAACTAATCCACACATACACATGGGAATCTCCTGTTTACCACATCCCAAGGGTGCTCTACTAGCCATGCTGTCTTGTTGTTTATCCCCAGTCCTGACCCTACTGTCTGAATGTTGGAGCAAAAATCGAGACTCAAATTTGTTTCCAATTTCCAAACAGTGGCACCCAGTTTGGTGGTCTGTTGCTCTTCTGCATACCTAGGTTGTAATTGTTTGTTTGGTTTGTTTCTTCCTATCAGCTTGAAACATCGTGGTCATCCTCTGAACTGCTGCTTATTGGATTTATTTTATTTATTTATTTTTTTCCCGGGCCTTTCTCTGTAAACCCTAAAAATTGTTGTCGGGGGAATATCGCAGCAGATCAGCAGCTTCAGAGATACTGACAAAACCAACAACCATGTCACATTCAAAGTCACCTTTCTTCTACATTCTGATTCTCAGTTTAAACTTCACCAGGCCTTCGTGACCATATCTACATGCATGTCACGCCCATTGGATTGCTGCCATGTTGCAAAGCAGCTTGCAGTGTACATGCAACTGAAACGGTTTAAATAATATTTGTGAAAGGGAGTGAGCAGACCCATCAGTTTCACACCTTTTTCTTAAATTCGGTTATAAACGAAACGAGCGTGGAAGAATACACTCAAACTGTAGCTTTAATAGATTTGTCTTTTGTAAGTAAGTGGATAAATGGTCCTCTTTTCAGCTAACAGTGGTTAGTATTTGTAAATAATTCAAAAGTTCATTTTTAGTAGGGTTTCTTGGCCAGCCTAAATCAACACTATATATCCTTGACTATTTTAATTTAGATCCAGTAGGGGAAACCAAATCATCCCCTTGTTGTATTGCTCTTACACTGGAACGTTAAACTTTATTCTGCACAGTAAAGCTGTCAGATAAATGTAAAACAGAAAAGTAAAGGCTGAAATGCTGTCGCTCAAGCAGCAAAGCTGTCAGACCCCCGGTGGACCAAGATTGAAAAATGTCCCCATAGGGCCAGCAGGGAGCCCCCCCCCCCCCAAAAAAAAGCAAAAACAACAAAGGAAGCGAGTGACTGTGCATCTGGAGGCCTTGTAGGTCTCATAAACTGGCTGATGATTGCTCCCTTCCTGATTACCAGGGTGGACAGCGAAAACGGAGTCGATAATTGAATCAGAGAAATTTCTCCCCGAGCATCGCAGATGGCTTATCTGATAAGGAGGTTTTTAGCTTGGCAGGGCAGGAAGCAGCCTTTCCGCATTCCAAGGTGGCAGAAAGTTTTCTTTTGGTCTTTGGTGCCCCTTCACATGGTGCCATACAGGGCAGCCTCCTGTCAGCAGACCTGCATGAACTGGTGTTGCTTTACCGAGCAGCGATGAAGAAAGCCGTTCCTCACTACTCCAGATGGGCAGAAAGACGATCCACCGTGGTTTATGGTAAGTAAAACTCTGGATTGCTCACATTCGATGTATTTGTTTGTTTGCCTTCCATATATTTCTTTGCTTTATAACGGCAGTAAATGGTGCGTAAAGGCCTCTAGATTAACTCGAGTGTCAGTAGCTCCTGTTTAAAGTCTCAGAAATGACAAGAAGATTAACAAACAAATTAACTTTAGTTTATTGTAATTGCATGAATACTATGCATTTAAAAATTATTTATATAGAAGATTGTGTTCAGGTCTGAGATGTGTAGTCATTTCGCTGTTCAAAAGCATGTTATGATGCTGTGTCTCGGCTTTAAAGGACCTTTAATTTAACAGCTCTCTGGAAGTTCTTGGGAATCTTTGCTGTAAAATTGGCTGAGATTATCTTGGGAGATTATGGAAAGTTTGACAAACTTAGTCTACGTTTGTATACAGAGATTAAGATGTCAGATTTTACAGATTTAAACTTGAGCTTGAAGAATTTGAAACAGCACAAAAAAAAGTTATTTTCTTATCATTAAAAAAGGCTCGAGTAGGTGTTACTGAGCCAGGATGCTCAAACAGCTTCAGCTGCTACATAAATCTCATCATTACACATGTAAAGTTAGCATGTTAAATGTTAAAGTTCAGTGAGCTGCTGTCAAGCACGGTGGAGGATTGGTGATGATCTAAGGCTTGGTGTGCAGTCACAGAAGCTGGGCACCTTTCAGAACTGAAACAAAGTTGTAAAGAAGAAAAAACGGTGCGTAATATTAACATATACACATTTGGTGATATAAATGTGACAGCCCATGACACATACAGCCTCGAAAATTTGCAGTGTGTATAATATATTTATAGTGTTTTCAACTTTTTTTTCTTTGATTGTTTAAAACAAGCATTTAATGGCATTTTATTGTATTATGATCATTAAATCAGTTGAATGAACATAACCCTTTAAAGCCGAGTGAATCTTTTTGTGAGTTCTATTAAACTTCTACGTAATCAGTGTGCATTTTTTTCCACCCAAAAGCTAAAATAAAACTGCACGATATATTTTGAAGAAATAAATTGAAAAAATGCCTGTATATATCCCTGTATAATGTATATGTTTCTTTACAATCTGAGGGTTCTTAATGGCAGCCAATATAGTGAGTCTTAAGCTTTAGAATATTAAACTTATAAACTCATCAGAAATAATAAATATCATCCTGTTTACTTGTTTCATGCTCCAGCGGTTCGCTCAGCCACGTTCGGCTCCTGGAGGATGCTCACGATGGGGGCGGAGTACTTAGACACCTGGGCTCGGTCACCTGACAGGAGAGAATGTCCTGAGAAGCTGGCCAGAGAGGAGGAGGAGGAGGAGGAGGAGGAGGAGGAGCCGGGGCCATCAGATACTGGAGAGCAGGGGGAGTCCTCATGGATATCCGCTGGCAAGGACCCAGAACAGAAGTACGAGACTGTTCTGCACCTGGACGGGATGAGCAGACGAGAAATGGGAGATGGTGTCCGGGAGGCCATAAAGAAGCATGACAACCTGAAGAGCACCTCCACTAATCAGAGGTGAGACAGTTTGGGTGTGGCTGGTTGGAAATCATACTGTTGGTAGACTAATCCTGTCACCAAATCCTGTGCTCTGGATATTTTCCTTTTTTTTATTTTTTTTATTTTAACAGCATTTCCAGCACACAACTGCACAGACATCTGCTGACTCAATGTTCTAACTACAGCACAAGTGTCTGTAACTCTTATTGCAGTAAATCAGCTAAACCACCAGATGTCTCCTCAGTCATATCTAATGAGTTTGCATCCATGATCAGCATTTCACAGCAACTACTTTAACATGAACCGAATACTTTAGATACAAAAAAGGTAAGAAAAGTCTGAAGTTTTATGACTAATGGTGAAATGTTGTCTCATGTTCATGAATAAATGGCACCATGCAGTTTAGCTTTAAAATGAAGTGTACTCAGGCTGAAAAGGCAACACCTTCCTTTATAAAATCTGTTGCAATACAGTGGCAAAGGTTAAATTTATGAAATAAGATAAGTTTATTTCTCCCCAAAGTTGTGAAATTCCTGTGTTACAGAAGCTAAAACATTAAATGTAGTCTATAAAACCTTAAATAATGTATAAAGGTAAAAAAAAGAAATAAAGAAATTACATAACTAAACAAATACTTAGATGAAGCAAAGGTAATACTAACATTAGAGCTCATTTACATAATGAAGAAAAACAAGAAAAAGATGCCCAGTAAGAAAATGAAAATCATGAAATCCATTAGAAATTCTATTTAAAGCGTTATATAATACAAGAAACTTGCTTAACAAAGCGTAATATGTATATAAAAAATCAAATAAAGCAACATGAAAATGAATATAAAATGACACACTAAACAAATATGAGATGACATTAAAGTCATACCAGAGTGTAAAGTGAGCAGGTCATGTAGATTTTGTTTGTGTGGCTAATGTGAATTATGTGGACACATGTTTTGTGTTCCAGTGTCGACATAATTTTGGTTTACACCCACTTTTTACGTTATTAGCACGTCTAATCAGCCAATCATGTGACAGCAGCTCAAGAAGACTTCCTGAAGTTGAAACTGAAATATCAGAATGGGCAACAAAGGGGATTTCAGTGACTGAGCGTGATATGGTTGTTGGACTGAGTGTTTTAGAACCTGCTGATCTGATCTGCTGGGATTTTGCCGCACAACCATAGGATTTACAGAGAATGGTCTAAAAAAAGAGAAAATTTCCAGTGAGCGACAGTTCTCTGGGTTAAAATACAGAACTGCTACGTAGATGTCAGAGGAGAATGATCACACTGCTCCGAGAAGGTGGAAATGCTACAACCAATGTTTGCAGAAGAGCGTCTCCGAATGCATAACATGTGAAACCCTGCAGCAGATAGAGTAAAGAAGCAGAAAACCAGACCCGGTGCACTCCTGGCAGCTAAGAAGTGGAAACTAAAACCACATGGGCTCACCGTGATTGGATGGCAGAAGATTACAACAATGTTGCCTGGTGTGATGAGCTTCAATTTGTCCTGCAATGTTCAGATGATAGAACCAAAATCTGACATGAACAACATAAAAGCATACATCCATCCTGCCTTGTATCAGCAGACTGCTGGTGGTGTAATGCTGTGAGGGATATTTTCTTGGCACACTTTAGGGCTCATTAGTACCAACTGAACATAGTTTAAACACCACATGCTACCTGAAGGACAAACACAAAGAAACCTATAGAGAAACAAGCCGCTAACAATCATCTGTTTGCTTTAAAAAGACACCAGTACAACAATTCTTCTATGAATATTAATAGGAGGTGACTCACATGAAGCTGAAGTAATGACATGCAGTAAAACAGGAAACTGGATTCAGACTACTTCAATATTCAGACTCATTAATACTGTCGTAGAAAATGATGAATGAAAGAAAACATACTTACAGATCTAAGTGGCAAAGCAGATTCAGTTTCCAAATCTAATTTGAAAAGCATAACCATCGTCTCTGGTAAGTGGCACACATAAAACGGCAATTAATGTTCATCTCTGCAGACTCCTGCCTGATTTATAGCGGTCTGAATCAAGGTAGCAACCACTTCCTATAACAACTAACTACCAGCAGCTCATTAAAATGATCACGCATGCAGAAAACGAAACGAAACAATACAAAACAATGGTGGAAGCATGAACATCTATAAAGCTCATCACATATGCAAGCCCAGCTAGAAGAATAGGAAACGTTACCATGTGAAAAGCAAAAAGAGAGAGTGAGGAGACAACATCACGCGTGTGTCTGTGAGGATGTTTAGACTTTAGTTGTGGCTCTTTGCTGTAGTGGTTAACACATCTGCCATGCATGTGAAATATCCCCATGCTCAGCTCTGGCAGGACACACCCAGCCTCAAAGGCGCATGAGCTAGCGTCTCGGTCCAAGCCCCGGAAAAATGGGAAAGCTGCATCAGGAAGGGGATCAAATCTGGCAACCCCCTAAAAATAATAAAGCACTTTAAAGCTTGTAGTTAAGTTTTAACTGACATCCAATGCCCCCACATTCTGTACACACATGCTGTGTGTAAATAATAAAGAAACAAAAGTCTGAGCATGCGGTCAGGTTGAAAAAAGGCCCATCAAACATTTATGTAACTTAATGAAAGACGTTTGAGAGCGCATACCTCTGCCAAGGCCAGTGATTTATCTTGCAAGTGAATTAAAAACTCCTGAATGGAAACTCAGATCTGTATCCAACAGGCACATCCACAAAAACCTAAGCACCACATAGCTGAAGCACAGTTACTATGCTCCACCAATCTCTGAACTTAAACATTAACAGTCCTGTGAGCCTCTCTGCTCCATCTTAAAAGGTACTTTTTGTAATTACCCACTCTGCGGAATTTAATTCAAACCTTCAACAGCAGGGGGCAGCACTTTACCAGTTTGTATGTTGAGATTTTTTCACTTTCCGTTCTTTTAACTTTATATATTTCTTTTTGGCCCTATCCCCGTTTTCTTAGGGGACTTCAAATTTTTAAATAAGAATGTTTTTACGGACTTATGTGGTTAAATAGAGTCACATGTTGCTGTATAAAGGGGTCTTGCATAAAAGTCCAGTCTTAGTTTAATTTTAGTCGATACCTCTCCTGCTGGGGTCACCCGAGGGAAAACGGTCGCTGGAGATGGGGACCAGGTGTACGATCACTCACAGTTAGTTGCTGTCTTCAAAACAAATGTTAAAAATCTGAGAGTGATTGCAATTGTTTGGAGACAGGTTTCCTCCCGTCAGACGACACGTGCAATCAAAATAATCTGATTAATTAATAATCTGATAGGCAACTACAGATTATTAAAAATCTATTTATTTATTTTTACTGCTGTCGAATGACCGAGCCATTCGACAGCAGTACATTGATGTTTTGGATTCAAAGCTATTCTTTTGGTAGCTAAACAAATTTACAGTAAGTACCTTTGAAAATCAAATATAAGTCATAGTAATAAATAAAGAAATAATTCAATATAAGCAAATAAGATGAAAGTACTTTAGATCAGGTTTAATGTGCGAGTTTAATTAATTTAGTTCATCAAGTGCAGACAGAAAAGGTTTCATAAAAATTGGATTTACAGATTTTACACAACGTTGCTGACAGACAAACAGGAACAAAAGCATAAAGAAAACAATTTAAAACAAACAAACAAACAGGAAACTATCATATGCACAAATACACACTGTGTGGGGTAAAAATGTGCTTAAAAATAAAAGATGTCAGTTAGGTACAATAATGTTGCAAAGTTTCTGAAACGTTGAGTCTCCTGTGTTTCTGCAATAAATAAATAACTGATGGATTGAATGAATGAAAGAATGAACAAACTGTTTCTTTGGTCTTTTGTTTAACTGGATTATCTTTGTCTTCTTTTAGGAGATCTGATGTTGTTTTTGGATCTGAACTTCTAAAGTGTTCACATCATTTTCAGCACCTCTGTAGATTCCGTTCATCTTAATTTAACATATATTCATCTTCTAGTGAATTCCTTTTTATTTATTTTTTGTTAGCTCTAACATGGTTACTCTAACCACGGTCTGAATGTGGATACTTGCGCAACCTGTTTTGCAGTGTGAGATGTTAAAGGTGGATCTTAGCCTCGTCTTTCATAAGCATTAATCTTCTCTCATTGGTGCCAAAAGGGAAATGTTCGAGCCTCAGGGCTTTTCTGAACTTCATTATAACCTGCCAGCAGACGGTGAGCGCGTCTGTGCGCTCCAGTCACTGATAGGCTCATTCTGGTCACGTGTGCTCTTCCTTATTCCACCGAGGACTTGGTATAAAACCTACAGCCCCTCATGCAGGGAGCGACCAAACAGAAATCAGAGGACTAATACTCCTGCTGGATTTGCTTGTTTTATTGTTGCTGTCGGCTGGGGGAAAAGCCGCAAAAAAGGATTTTCTTTTTCCTCATGGTATTTTTTTTTGAGCGCCTGACATTTCAACTGGTGTTTGGAGACGATGCTGACAGGATTTGGGACTGAGGCAGGATGTTCTCATCTTATTTCAGCCTGATTTTTCTCCACTTTGAGCTGTAATGGATGCAACAGCCTCAACTGAGTGATTTACATCGGAAGTGCTTTGCGGCTCAAAAACTTTAACGTTTTAAATTTCGCCGAAGATGAATGAATGGAAAGGATCAAGAGAGCGTGGTTTTCAGTGAGGCCACCTTTTATCTGTTATTTCCCAAACGCGGCGCTTTCTCCTCACACTAACGCTGAGCAGTGGTTTGTATGAAGCGTGTTTGTTGTGATGCTTCTCCCCTCCATTTCCACTGACACCACTTTGGATTTCCCCTTTTGGATCTGTGCGTTTCCAGAATGGCTCGCTTCGCAGAAGATCTACCCACCCGCTATGGAGGAAGCGCAGGCGGCGGAGGGAGAGGTGGACCGGGCGCTGGGAGAGGAGGCGCCCGGGGTGGTGGCGCTCCGGGTGGGCAGAGGATGTACAAGCAGTCGATGGCCCAGAGAGCCCGGACGATGGCCATCTACAACCCGAACCCTGTCAAACAAAACTGCTTCACCGTCAACCGCTCCCTCTTCATCTTCCGCGAGGACAACCTCATCAGGAAGTATGCAAAGCGAATAACAGAGTGGCCATATCCTTCCTGACGCACAGAGCAGGTGCATCTGTAGCCTAGAGGCACAGTGGTTGAAAAGCAGAGCCACACAACCGCCTGCAGGCCTGTTTGCCAAGCTATTAAGTTTAGATGTGGATTATCTTCTCTAGTGTTGAATGTGCAGCTATTTACGCCCGTGGAGTAGCCGCTAACACACTGTCCCCTCTTTATCCCCCTCCGCGCAACGCTGGCTACACCTGTCGCCCCGCTTCTTATCTCCCTTCAACATGACACAAAGCTGTTCTCTGAACAGCAGCGGGCTGTGAAAAGACTTCACATCCGCCTATTGTGCTGCCTCTTTTATTACCCCCACCTTCCCGGCGCCCACATATATACCGAGAAGTTCTTTTATCAGTATGTCAGCTGTAAACTGCTCGCTGGGCACTGACAGCAGTGGTTAATCACGATCAAACATCGCTATTGATCCGCACAGCTACGAGTCAATGAAGAGATGCGTGCGTAAAAGGGGCGATGTGGCTTACGCTTAACCGCCCTATCCCCGTGCTCTCCTACACTGTGTTGTGTTGGGGGGGTGCAGTTTACTTTAAGTAGAAAAACAGAGAGCGCTCGTCCAGGATAGCAGCACGCCTCGTTGTCTTAGTCGGGAGCCCTCTCCGTGGTGCTGAACTCGCCCACGCTCCCCGCTCCACGCCGTTTATTCCACACTGCAAAAAAAAAGAAGGAAAGGAAAAAAAAAGAAAAGAAAAAAAGTCCTCTTCGAGGAGTCGTGGTCACTTTTATAATCGCAGTTTGCTCTCTTAAAATTAGCGAAAGACTTGATCATCAGCGGCGTGTTTCTGAGTCTTTCATTCATTTATAAAAAAAAAAAATCAATAAAAAAAATCTCAGGAAATAGTCTCATCTCCCCCGATTTTAAGACTCAGTTTCACTCCCCTCCTAAAGTAGGTTTGTAGCTGTGTTTTAATGATGTTAAACGTTAAAAACGTTTTAGAGAGTTACAGATGTAATAATAATAATAATAATAATACTAATAATATTGATAATCTCATTTTCACATTTTTTCATATATATAATGCAACATTAACTTTTAAAATGTAAAAAAAAAGCTAAACTGATATCTGCATGTAAACAACAGGCACGACTTTTGCTGCTGAGGGTTTAAATTCTATTTTCTGATCACATTCAGGCTTTATTTGTGTGAAGGGGGGGGGGGGGAAGTACACCTGGGGAACAAAAAAAATCAGCCATCATCTGACAAAGATGCAGGTTTTAACTTGGTGGCTTGTTACTCCTGGTTGTCCCAGAAACAGCCAAAAAATTTTTTTTTATATTTTAATGTCTCTTAAAGACTCCACTGTAGGTTATAAGCTCAGAGAGAGGTTATATATTTCTGTGTTGAAATTGTTTAGACTGGGAAGCCACAGGGCTTGTGTGATGAACATGACCCGACAGCTGGATCTGCTCTGTGGGCGACAATGAGGACAACATTAGCTCTAATCAAATAACAGCATTTATCAGTTTGTCCGTGCCCTCTATGGGCTGATATGAACCGGAACCTCTGATATTCCATATGGACAAGATAATAAAATAATCACCGCGTTCACTCTCATTCCTGAAATATTCAGGATATGTAAAGCAGCTCAGTATTTTTATCCATATCTTTGCTGTTACGATTATCAGCTTCCAATTCCCTTGTGATTCATGGACCCTCAATAGGCACTGACCCTCAGGGCAGTGACCGAGTGAAAATGAATGACAGAATGAAGTGGTCAACCATCTGGAAGGATCATGAGCACATGTATAGGATGCTTTCTTTCCACAAAAGGCCTTCAACCAGAGCTTGATGGAAAATTTATGCTTAGTTGGACAGAATGCATCTAAATTCAAGTTTAGCACAGGGGCATGCAGGATTATTCCTGTGCAACCGCCATGAATCTGCTTCCTTATTCCATTAGAATAGATGAGTTACAAAAATGTGATGTTTATTCATCAGTATAAAGTAGTTTATCAGTGCTAAGAAGGTTTGCAGACATACTGAAATGAAATACATGTGACATCATTTATAACTACTCCTTAACTCTGCACACTCCATTTGAGTACATGATCCTGGCCACAATTATCGCCAACTGCATCGTCTTGGCCCTGGAGCAGCATCTACCTGCCGGTGACAAGACGCCCATGTCAGAGCGCCTGGTAAGTCCATCTCTTTAAGGTCGCATCCCTCACACGTTGATTTTCTGTCCCTTCCCCGGAGGTGCCAGATTTACAAAAATATTGGGCAACACTTTATTTTAAGTGCACACATTTACTAATTGCTAATTATTCGACACTTATTAATCTCCAGTTTACTGCTTATTGGTTTTACGTATTTATGCATGCTCAGTATTGGCCTTTCGTGGCACTACTACAATCCTTATTAACAAATATAAGTCCATTCTTGTGGTAAACATCAAAAGTGATTCCTTCACTTGTATTTGACACTTTAATAACCTCCTTCACACTTTCGAAATTCACCATGGCACACTACTACTGCAGTTAGCAGCTCCTCTTCTTATTGAGAGGCACAGTTTCCAGTCAGATTCAGTGAAAGAACAAATTCACTAAAAGTGGCAATATGTTAAATTGAGGAAAGTAACACCCACAGTGAGATAGTTCTGCAATCATGTGGAAAAAAAGAGAAATGAAATCACGAGTGAGAAACTCAGCAGTTCCCGGTAGCCTTAGGAGGAGCAGTGCAGGTTTGTGGAAACTGAGCTGTATCAGAAAACAGCCATAACCAATGTTTTCAAAATGCAACAGTTAGTCCTTGTTGAAAGACAGAGCAAGAGGGATTGGATTAGAAACAAATACATCAGGGGGACAGCTCGGGCTGAGCAGTTTGGAGAAGGAAGAGGGGCAAGGCTAAGATAGTTTGGATGTGCAGATGAGGGAGAGTGGAAATCAGAGGGTGTTGAAGATGGAGCTGCCAGGCAAGAGGAAAAGAAAAAGACCACAGACGAGGGTCACATATGTAGTGAAGGAGGACATGCGGAGTGTTGGTGTGACAGAGGAGGCAAACGGTCTGCTGTGATGAACCCTAAAGTGAGGATCCCAGAAGGAAAGGCAGAAAAATGCTGAAATAATATATCCTACTGAACATCAAAAATGGTTATCAGGTGGTTATTGATTAAGACAAAGCTCTTCATTATGGTCTAATAAATGATCCTGCACAATAAGCTATCAATAAGAGTAAGCAACTAGTTAATTAGCATCTTTCCAAATATTGATCTGCACTTGCTTAATTACTTTTGTTTATTTGGTGTGTTTAGCTGTGACTGGTTGTTTTTCCACCCTTCTTCTTCTTCTTCCTCATCCTATCACAACTCCTGTTGCCATTCTCACATATGCAATTTAAACCAGCATTTGAACTCTGACGGTCACGTCGCACTGCTGACCAGTCAAAAGAGACACGAGAAACAAAAGAGACTGCTGCACAGCGAGGTCAAGTGTGATATATGCCGGGGACAGAAATTGTGCATGCAAAGCTGCATGCTCCAGCACCTTGTTCCTCTTGAGTTTGAGGGTGCTGTGGCCGAAGGGGAATTTAGCCTTAAAAATAGCAAGGCAAAGAGCGCTACGAAGAGCAACAGCTTGATGTGGAAAAAGTCAAAGAATTCCTCACATATTCATCCACCTTGCTGCTGTTGATGGTCGTGATGCTAATTCAGCAGCGAAGACGCGACTCTAAGTGATTAGAGTGGTTACACAAAGAAGGAAAACAAGCATCCTCTCGCTGCCTCCTCCACCTCGAGGATGTAATGCAACAAGATGCCTTTTAATTAGAACAAGGGATCAGGTTTTTCTTTTGTTGTTGTTTACGAAGCTCTGTCAATAGACCAGCAGGCATGCTGTAAGTGGAAGTGATGATAGAAGCTATTCAGTGAGAGTACATCACATCCATTGCAGGGCTTTAATGCCATGATCCGCAGAGGATCCTTTAGCTGTTTTCAGAAGGCTTTTCTTTATGATTCCCAAAATTCCTCCTGCTATGTATGTGAAGATTTCAATTTCTTTATGTATGATTATTGTCCTTTTATAGGGCACTGGAATTATTATAATTAATAGCCTAGAAGCCACTAATTTGTTCCTCAATTATAAAAAACCCCAACCCATTCTTGTTCCACCACCTCAGTAACTCTCATCCAACATATCTATATCATGTGCTCCCTGTACTCACTCAGGAGGTATAGAAAAGGTCACCCTTCTTATAGTGCACGGGCCTGTCACACTGCTTTTATGTGATTATTTACGTTGGAGGCTGGGTGAAGCTGGGGGTTGGGGGCACTGTCTGTCAGCTTGTAGCATGCTGGGAGCAAGAGAGAGAGATACAAAAAATGGAGGGGGGAGAGAAGGCAAAGTGTAGGCGTGAGATATCCTCTGCTCGTGCCCTGTGCGTCGCTTCAGGCTCTTTGAGATATTAATGGGGAGGCAAAGGCAAAGAGTGTCCTGCCACACAGGCCAGAGCTAGCTACTTTACTTGCAGCACATCCTAGGGTTAGCTCAACCACGTAGTGCAAATTATTCCACTGTGACCCAGAGCTGCTTGTTTGACATGGTTCGAGAGTAGTGCAGTGCTCACATAAACTGCCCAGTCATACGTGTTGCCATGTGAGTGCAAACATTTGGCCCGTGTCGGAGCACGTTCTCATCCCAGGCGTCCCTTACAGCCATTGTGCAACAGCAGCGTTAGATGCCAGGAGATAATCGCCGTCTCCTAAAGTTCAGTGCTCAGTGTGTGTCCTGTTTGGGAACTTTGTGCTTCCCAGTTTGATTTGCTTTGTTTTCACTTGCTGATTCGTTTCCTTTTCCTTCACTTTGTACTTACACTTATTTTGTGAAAGTAGAAGGCTAAACTGCGTGGTGAGGTTTAGGAAAAAGTCATAGTGTTGTGACTTATACAGCCTGCTTTCATCTTAAGAGGGCCGGACCAGTGAAACGGCCCTTTCTGTTCATCTAAAGGAGTTTAACAGTTCACGGTGTTGTAGCATTTAATCCCTGAGATATCTTATGAGAAAAAGGAAGTCCAATGTCAACATTACCTCTCGTTTTTTTTCACATGACATTGACATGCTGCCGTATGAAAGAAAAATCTTTCAGCATTTCTAGCAAGCTGGTCTTATGTTCGACACCCCTAGTTTAGGTTAATAATACACAGCATTAATGAAGCATGCTGAAAAATGAAGTGCATTTACGTGTGACATTAAGCTGCTATTTACAAACATGTATAATTGACCAGCTGGATGTGAAACCAGTGGGACTATGGTTATATCCCAGCACGTCATGACCTCGTGTCTGAGAGATTCCAGCAGCTGTGACAGAATGGCAGCATTTGACACCCAGGAAATAAGAATGGGCTGTCACGCCACAGGGCCTCTTAAATGCCTTTCCATGTGCTCCAATGTGTTCTGACCACTGGCCCTATTTGTTGGTCCAACTGACTTTTTGGCCCTGCTATCTCCAATTATTGTAATTGCTCCTGCCTGCCAGTGCGATGCTTCATTTTTGTGTTCCTGTTGTTGCTCTAAGCACCAGTTTGACTGTCCAAATGCTCCAGTTTTTGGCACTTCTAGCTGACACCTTAAAAACCTGGTTGGTTGCTTATATTTTCCCATGACACATGAGCAGGGCATTTGAACAGTCCAACCTCTTTTCTGGTTGGCTCAAGTTCTTCCCTGGAAGTTTCTAATGCTATGCTTGTGCCCAACTAACCTTCAACGACTGTCTATAAAAGACTCACGTAACTTAAAAGTCTTTAATCTGAGGTCTTATACCTGAATTTTTTCTCATGGTTAGCAGGGGGCAGCTCTGTAGATATCTATGGAAAAATGGCTCAGCTGCTCATTTCATGATCCATGATCTCAGTAAACACCTTTCTGATGTGGTTGTTGCTTCAATAGCTGGTTGTAAGACTTAGTTAACATATCAGGATGTTTCTTTTTGTAAATGTTCATCACAATAAGAGTAGAGACAAAGAACAAGGCTGTGCTTTCTAGCAGCTTCACAAGTCACAAGTAAAAACTGTATGAGAGTTTCTCAGCGACATCCATCCATCTCTTATGTCTGGCTCCAAATCACCATGCAAACCATTCAATGACATTATAGTGGCTACATCCATCTTTTATATACAGTCTGTGGTTAGGATCTTAAGAAGGTGCCTTTCATTTGCCTTGTATTTTACACAATAAGGGCAAATAAAGCACTCAGACTCCTTTCAGTTGGATCAGATTCTTTATTAGGAACCTCAAATGCTACACGAGTACTTTAAGTGACCTTCTGGTCAGTCCCCACCTCACCTTTTCCTCTTTCTGCCCATCTACCAACATAATCGCAGCAAGATTTCCCTTCCCTATTTTTCTCTTATGTCATACAAGAAATGGCCAAGTGCCTTTGTTGTTGCTGCCCTATCAGGCTAAGTACCTCAAATGCCTCTCTGGTCAGCCTAAGTGGCCATTTCTTAGTGCCAGATACTCTACCTGACCTCTAGTTTTGGTTTTGTTACCTCACTGGTGAGACAGAAAGGCCCTCTATTCCATTTAAAGTGCCCTGTTGCATGGCCTCAGCAGAGGTTGCCCTTTTTTTGGAGTCACGCAGCACTGATGATATTTAATGTGACATTTTAACAGAACACACAGCTTGTTTAATTTTTTGTTTGCACATGTAGTTGTCTGCATTCACTTGAAGCTACATTTTTTTGTTTGAATGCATTAAATGTGCACGCCTGGGGCGCCATTAATTTACAATACCCCCATACGATCATCCTGCGTTTGTGGATATTTGTTTTCCCAGTATTTACTGTCTTTTCATCCAAAAGAGAGCTTCAATTCCTGCATTTCTGCTCATGCCGGCATAAAAAGTGAAAGAAGTTTTTTCCCTGTCTTTTATTCACCCCCTGCTCTTTGAGTTAATGCTTCAGTAAACACTCTCCTACCTCCAACAAAAAGATATTCTTCTGCTGGTCTCATCCCCTCTCTGATTCTCTCTGTCTTTCTGCAGGACGACACAGAGCCCTACTTTATTGGAATATTCTGTTTTGAGGCCGCCATTAAGATCATCGCCCTGGGCTTCGCATTTCACAAAGGCTCCTACCTCCGCAATGGCTGGAATGTAATGGACTTCGTGGTCGTCCTCACGGGGTGAGTCCCTCGCCCGCTGGGTGTCAGCTGGAGATGGAAACATTGCAGTAAGAGTGGTTTCTTTTGTGCATATCTGTGAGCACCCTGAGAGGGAGTGTAGTGGAATCACCTCCTTCCAGTTAGATCATGTGCCCACAAGCATGTCTGTTATTCAACGAGTAACCCGAGCCTGTGAAAGAAGTGAAAGGAGTGCGATGTGAGCATTTGCTGGTTTTAGCCTTTGTCCTTGAGTTCAACACTGTTCCTGGGCAACACCATACAGACGCCATGTCCTCGCAGAGCGGCTTCCATCTTTGTTTCTAACAATTTGAGGTTGCCTTCTTTTGATGCGGGGCTGACATACCACCTTAGGCTGTACAATATTCAATATTCTGCATGTTTCACATTTTATATAAGTTTCAGATGTAATTGCATGTCTGCACTGGAAGTTGTTAGCTAAGTGGGGCGCAGTGAGCTCTGTGACACATGCTTTTATTGTTGAAAGCTTTTCTTCCTCTTTTGAGCAGCTCTTGGTGGCTTCTCGGCAGGGAAGCCATTGAGGCTCTAGGCCTTTGCAGGGATGTAATAGCCTGTGTTTCTTATCATCAGAGGGGAGCCATGAAGAGTCAGTGACAGGGAACACGGTCAAGCCAATAGTACTGAGTAGTTACTGCTAGGATTTCAAAGCTTAGGGCAGTACAGTACTCCCTTTTGATGATGTAAGAAGTCCTTACAGTGTAATACAGGAAGAGGGTGTAAGGATATTAATACGTTTCTAAGTTGGTGTTGTTTTTACTGTGGTCAGATACAAGAGTTTAGTCTTCAGGTTTACATGTCAGTCATTACCTCTATTTCTTCAAAAGACATGAATCATAAAGTGCTTCTGAGCTGCTTACACATGGAAGCCACCTTTAATATGTCAAAGCTTGTCTTTAAGGGTGAAATGTTGTCTTTATGGGACAAAGAGTCTGTCTTATACAGTATATATAAAGTAAAGTATACAGTATTTATGTGTTTTTGGGGTTTTTTGTGAGTGTTTCTTGGGGCGGGGGCATTGTTATAATAAGGCAGATTAGTGTGATCAGTGTTGGGCAAGTTACTTTGAAAAAGTAATTAATTATAGTTACTAGTCACTTCTTCAGAGAAGTAACTGAGTTACAATATTCTAAAAGTAATTAAATACCGGTACTAGGAAAAGTAACTATTTCGTTACGTTAAAAAAAATGTTTAACCCTCTGGGGTCCAGGGTATAATTGGCCATTTTTACTACTTTTGAGTTCCCCTCTACATTTCAGCTTTAAAAACTATTTACTTCGCCTTGTTTGGTATCATCCTTTTCAGCACAACCTCACGTGTCTGAATTTACAGTTATGTTTTCATTTTGACATAGTGCATTAACACAACTGATCTAAAATCAGACAGAAAACATAAACTCTGAGTAAAAAAAAAGTTATATTTTTACTGTAACAACCACAAACATGTTTAATGAATCATACTTCATAACTTTAAATGCAAATATAAATCGTCAATTTTAAAATCATACGTATAAGTTTTTCAAACAACAAAGTTGTTTGCAGCCATTTAACTTTTAGCTTTTTTAATAACCATTTCAAACTATTTGTATAACAATCAGCTGTTCTGCATCAATAAGATGCCACAAATTATTTGTGCCACTCCAAAACAATAATTTCTGTCCACTATAAAGGAGAACATCACAGCCTGATACCTGCAGGTCTGACAGCAGCAGGTGTGTCACTCCTGTTTCTACCTGGAGACAGCAGTCGCCTCATTGTTCTGACACACAACACAAAACTATCCACAACACTACACACTAACTACACAAGACAACACATTAACTACACAACACTACACACTAACTACACAAGACAACACATTAACTACACAACACTACACACTAACTACACAAGACAACACATTAACTACACACTACAAACACGCTAAACCTAACAAATATCTCACATCTCAAAACTCTCTCTCTCTCTCTCTCTCCCCCCTCCTCTCTCTCTCTCTCTCTCTCATCATCACTCCTAAAACTTCCCCGTCTTCCTAAACAACCAAATGTCATGTTGCCATATCATTTTTTGATTGGTTGACATGGTGCATTTCTCCACCAACACGAAAGGGCGTTTTCTTTTTGTTTTGTTTTTTTGTTTTTTTTGCTCATAAGCAGAGAGTGCTTGCTGCGCTGTCCTTAGACAGTAAACGTGACGAAACTATTCAGGAAAAAATGCTGCGTATATATTGTTTATCATGACTCTGGTTTTGCGTGGCCTATCAACACAATTTAAAAACTATATCACCTTGTTGCTTTGTCTTGAAGTGGTCATGTGATTGACTTACCACGACTACTATATTCTTCCTCAGTCAAACAGCAGCACTCATGCGATTGTTTTGCCCCCTTAGCTCCAGGTGTTGTGCCAAAAAGTGATCGTCTGCAAGAAAGTGATTGCCACCCATGGGACCGCGCGCAGCTGCTCAAAGCTGTAGCGTCCAGATTACTTACAGCTACTTCCGTGCAACTGATATAAGATACTGTAAACTGAAGACAGCTTCAACCGTCTGTTTGTTGAAAAATAGTAACGGGACCGCACCACATTTTCTTGTTAGTAACGGTAACGGCGTTGTAACGATAGGAATAGTAATTAGTTAGATTACTCGTTACTGAAAAAAAGTAACGCCGTTACTTGTAACGCCATTATTCCCATCACTGAGTGTGAATAATTCAAAGCTGCTCAAACAGAGTTCATGAGTAAAATGTGTTTTGGAGCTGGAAATGAACAGAACAGACTTGAATTAATGTCCTAACCAACTTCCTGTTTATAGAGCACAATAAAAACCCACAAACTGGCACAATGTAAACAATCGTGTGCCCTGTGGTTAGAGCCACTCAGTGCCAGAACATTTAGTGTTTTTATGAAACGCATTTTAAAAAGTTTAACATTTTGCTGTATTTATTCCACCTAAAAGCGAGTAGGACACAGTCTTTCATTAGGGGATTTGGTAATGCAGTAAGAAGTGTATTTTTACCATAAGGACACAGATATTTATCCAAACACTGGAGTCCTCTGAGATAACATTGTTATGGTCCTGGCTCTGTTACCCAGTGATTTAGAGGTTGTTGTTTTTTTGGTAAATGTATATAAATCTGTTATTCTTGGTTTTCCTTGAGTTTATATTCATGTATCTTTTTGCTTAGTGCATTAATTCTGTTTTGTCCCTGTTGTGTCAAGTCTCCTTCAGTTTGGTTTCCTGTTTTCCTGGTAGTCCTTGTCCCATGTGTTTAGTGTACTGTTTTACTTTCCCCAGTCTTGTTTTAATCTGAGTTTCAGGTGTGTTCCCACTCCCACATTTGGACCTGTTTCCATACCTCATTAGCCTGTATTCCCCAGTGTAGATTGCTCCTTGTTTCCAGTGTTCCCCTTGAGACTTTTGTTTCAACGACTGGTCTGGTAATGAACAGCTCACTTTAAGTTCACCTGTACCTGCCTCTATGCATCTGCACTTGTGTCCTCAACTCAACATGAAATCATAGCCTAACAAACATGTTACCCAGAGCTTGGAAAACCCCATTAATGTTGATATTGAAATGCATATGAAAGATAGATGTAGCCACTGTGACTCCACCCATTATTCTGTAAAGTGCCCATCAGTTTTTTTTAGCATTGTCGCCATTGCAAGCCAGAACTGACTGTGTTAGGATGTTACAGTGGAGTTTTAGGGTCATGATTGCAAACCTGGAAAGACTCAGATGTCAGTAATGTACAGATAAAATATAAGAAGGTGAACTATGAAAATAGGAGCACAGATTTCTTTGATGGGCTTTTAAGTACAAATCACACAACAAGCCTTTTTTTGCCAGGTAAAGACAATGGAAATGCTCTCAAATGCATACATTTAAGACAAAATGCAATTTAAAAGGCAGATTTATGGAAAAACTGAATACACACGTTTGTCATGAAGGTGTAAATGAGTTGTGAATGTTGTAAACAAGTTGGACATTTTAATGTGGAAACTGTGGGGAATGACTCACTTCTGGAACCAGCCTCATGTGGCCATTGGAGAAATTGCAGTTTTTCAAATATGATATTGATCCATGTTGACTGGGTTACTAGTGACTCCCAGGAGGGAACAAATATTTGATTTTTGTCAGGTTAGAGTATCAATACAATGTCCCCAACCAGCAGTCATACAATATTAGAAACGTGCTGATAAATGCCTGTTTTGCTTTAATAAATGCATGCCCAGAGAGATGATGTCCGGCATTCGTACTCTATGAGCTTTTGATTGGACTCCGGTGATAGCTAATGGCTTTTTCAAAATGTCAATAAAGGGAATAAATTGAGCTGGATTTTAAATGGAAACCAGAACAGGGCTGTAAGTGTTGACAGGTGACAATAAAAACACAACAGCTGGAATCAATGCAGGTAAGGGAGGCTCAAATGACAGATTTGGTTCATGCGTCTCAGAACAGTTATTCTTTTTCAGTCGTGTCATGCCATAAAGAGCACATTTCAGACCTTCTTTTGCCTTCACTTGGCATAGAATCAGGAAAATAGTTAGAATCTATGATTACATTTATTCTCTCCCTGCTGTACTTGTTGAGGCAAAGAGTTTCTGTTAGAAGATCAGATAGAAGATCAGAGCATACAGAGGCATGTCGACTGACGTCTTCTTCTGTTTTTTAGCAGGTCTCAATGTCATTGGCCACAATATTTAATAATCAGAGTCTCTCAGACTCAGAGCACAACATGTGTTTTTAAAGGTATCCTGCAGTGTAGTTTAAAGTTACTTTCATTGCTATTTATTAATTATTGACATTTACAAACCTGTTATGATTGACGCTGAAGAACTGTCTGGTCATCTGGTCATTTTTCACCTGGGAAACATAATTTCCAACCTACAGTGTAAGATAGGTCAGGTGGTTATAACCTGTCCTCAGACTGATCTTATGTGTCCTTATGTATGCTTTTGTTTGTTTGTTTTTTAAGTTCTAAATAGTA